ATATTTTTTTTTTAAATTTTTATTTTATTGTTTGTGTGTTTGTGTACCGTCAAATCAGATCTGACTGGTACAGGAGGAGATTGTCCCTCCTTACCCGGCAGAGCATCTGGTGGATTTGAACCGTAGGCAATAATTTTGATGGAAAAGTTGCAGGAATATCTCAGGGTAATAATTTTAGGGGTTCACGCAGTCTCCGTGGCTCCAGAAAGTCGAGCCTCTAAGAGTTTGAAATTCTAGTCTGTGTTTTGAGAGGTGAGATTTTGGCTTGAAACGGCCTGTGGAGGGGAGAGATGTAAATGAGGTTAACAGGAAGTGTAGACCTAGAGGGACTTAGCTCTGGCTTCCTCATTAATGCTTCTGCCTGACTTTCTGTATCTTCCCTTCCCAGTGGCTTGGTGTCCGAGGCCCCGGATGAAAGACTCTTCTTTGTGGATACCGGTCCCAAGAGGAAAGGTGAGGCGGGAGCTTCTGGTGATGATGTTTGCTGTTGTCTGGTTCCCCGCCCGACTGACTCCCTCCTATCTCTGATGTTGTTGATGACATAGAGCTTGGAAGAATCCACTTGTTAGGTTCTGTTGAGTGAGTTCCAGCCTCGAGGGACTCTGTACAACGAGAGGAAGCTCTGGCTCGTACTGGGACATCCTCGTAAAGCCCCCGGTTGTAGCCACTTGATCATGAATCTGACCCAGAACACGCACTTGACTTGAGCAACACAGGTTTAAACTGCTCAGGCCTGATTGCAGCCGACTTGGTTTTCCTGGTGGCCTAGTGGTTAGAAGCTGCGCCGCAGTCCTGAAGGCATGTGACGCGGTTCAAGGCCTACTCCGCGGGAGGATGAGCAGTCTCTTCCCGTGGTGATTTACTGCCTCTGACAACCTGGCAGAGGGCCAGCTCTGGGTCGCTTCCGACTTGGTGACGCGCACGCGGCAGTATTGACAGCATGAGACTAAAGTGCTGTGTGTGAGAACTTGGTCTCGTCAGGACATGCACAGCTCAGATCTTGATGGTTTTAGGCTCAGTTTTAAACGGTGATGTGGATTTTGGACTGTGCAGGAGCCTGCACCCTTAACCCCTGAGTTGTTCACAGGTCTGCCATGTAATTTTACACTTGTATTTAACAGAAAGACAAGAGGGCCACTATTGACCAAAGAACAAGGTTGAAGCTGAGTTAAAAGGCATCAGGCCTCCTGAGAGGTGCACAGACTCTTCAGGTGGGCCCTGTCATGTGCGTTAGGAGTGAAACACTTGCCCTGCTGCTGACCTGGTGTTAGACCTGCTTTAATTAAAGTGTTCTGTTCACTAAAAACAAGATCTGTTTTAACAGGCAGGAAACTGGTAATAACCAAAACCAAACCAAACCACCCAACCAAGATTTAGGTTCATGGCAGCCAGTGGGCAAAAAGCAAACTAAGCGTTGCTTCCGTGCAGCAGGGGACTGAATACGACAGTGGAGAAAAAGCAAACCTTAGAGTGAGTGTGCTGCCTTGGGGCTTAGGGGGGGACAGAGCACTGAAGCCGCTGTGTGGTGCCAGCGGACGGTGTCACACTCAGCCAGGTCTCACTAATTGCAGGGCTGGAGGTTTGCATCACCCCAAGGTGCCTGGGAGGAAAAATGGGTGATCTGCTCTTGAACAGCAAGCCGGGGGAGCCCTGTGCAGCACAGCTCTGTCTCACAGACTCGGGGTCCCCATGTGTTCACTTGAAGGCAGCTATCTGAAAAACAAGCAAAGCTCTAACAGAAGACTTGTTGCCTTTTTTTAAAAAAAATAATATTTTATAGTATATTTGGTGAAAGTGTACACAGCAAATTGGACTCTTGTTCCAGACCGCGGATAAAGTAATTTTATAATTACTAGTAATGAGATAGCCAGCCATAGAACAGAGAATGAGCTAGAACAGAGAGCATTAAACAGGGGGGGGGGCGCCAGCAAAGCCATGCTTCTCTGTGTATTTATTGATAATCAGGGGAAGCAAATCATAAAAGGAATTCCTTGTAAATGAAGCTGAATTTTTCTCTATTGTCAACCTAATGCTCTAGCTCAGGAAGTATTTCACACGTAGTAACAACACTCCTTCTGTAGGGGGGTCCTAGCTGTCTCCTGTCCGCAGGGAACAAACAGCTCATTTTCTGGGATCTGCCACAAGAGAAATCCTAACTTATAAATTTGTAATTCCTGAACAAGAGTTTTCATATATTTGGTATGAAGTTGGGCTTCCCATAGACTCTTTCTTGACAGTTTGGTTCCAGGTGCCTCAGATATGGTGTTTACATTTGCACAACACGTTGTTGTTGTGACTGCTGTGTGCCATTGAGTTGGAACCAACTCATAGCTGACCCTCCAGGGAGTTTTCAGAGGCTGTAAATTGCACGAGGCAGAGTAGTACCCATCTTTGTCTTGCCCAGTGACTGTGGATTCGAACCACTTGCCTTTGGGTTGACGGCACAGCTCTTTACCACTAGGCCACGAGAGCTCCCTTTCATCAGCATGCTCATTAACTGTGTTCTGATTGTTCTGATTCCAGGGCTCTTTGTTTTTCTGCTTTTTCATCTTTGCTTTAGAGTCATCCATGACCTTTTGGTCTCAGGTAGATGGTTTTATGATTTAGTGTTGTACTGACAGGCAGTTGTCTTCATCTTGCGCTTTGTCTGTTGAGAAAAGGTGACTTCAGAATAGTTTCTGTTCAGTGGCTTAAGAGTGTCTGTCTCAGGTCTATAGCCTCAGGGAGCTGGTCTCACCTGCTCTGTTCTGTCCTGCAATTTTCTCCCTTTCTGTCCAGGTCCCTCTTTTGTGGTCCTGATCAGAACAGTGTTGGTGGTTTTCCTCAGGCACCATTTAGTCCCTCTCTTCTCAGAGTAGATGAGTAGACTAGCAGACCCGAAGGCTAACTAGTAAACCAGCTTTAATAAGCCAGATGGTGAGTTGCTTTAAAAGTAAGAGCATTTCCCAGGCCTTTGTGTTGCCCATTTACTTTTGGAAACTAGTGAATGTGGTGTCAAAAAAGGCGTAAATTAAACTCTTTGCAGCCACTTTCTGCCCCTGAATTTGGTTTCATTGGTGTAGGAGCTGCATAAGTTTACAGTTTATGGACAAAAAACCCCTAACAAATGAAACCGTTTATTTTGAACATTCATATGTATACAAGGAGATAATTTATTTTTAAGAACAAGGGGAGAGACTCAAGGTAGGATAGTTATAAAGTAAAGAAACTTCTTAATTATTTAAAATAAAAATAACTTAATTGTTAGGTGTTTTAATAAATAACTTATCAATTTGAAGTAGAAAGAAGTAAGCATCTTGGGTGAGCTTGTGTGAACTCGGCGAGAATGCCCTTTTCACGATGAGTCACAATCGACTCTGTGGCACTGTGTTTGCACCGCTGCCCCTGGGTGAGTTTGGACCACTCAGCTTTTGAATAGTGGCCAAGCTGAGCTGGAAGCAGCCGTTGGTGCCACCCAGAGACCCTTCTCAGTCACTGAAGGACCCTGTGGGGCGCAGTTCTGCCCCAAAGCCCACAGGGTTGCCTGGGTCGGCTCAGCGACCACCAGCTGGCTGGCTGTCATACATGATCTCACTTCAGTGACACAAAATCCCAAAGTCCCTGGCACCAGACAGACAGACACACACACACACACCCAGTGAGGGTTCTAGATGACTGTGTTCTGTCCTGTATTCCTTTTAACTGTCAGCTTTGAGGAGGAAAAGCAGAGGGCTCTGCTGAGAACCGTCCATCCTGAGTTCATCTCAGTGGTCTTCTCTGACCCCTGCTTTTCCTCATGAACCTCTCACCGGCCCTGTGGCTATTTCCCTGCTGCTTTGTCTCTGCAGCGCCCTGCCCTGGGGCCTGTCAGGTGGGGGCCTGGAGACCTTTCCATCAGCCCTGCGGTGTGGGAGCTGGGGCCTTTCAGGTCGGGGTCTAGAGACCCCCCATCGGCCCTGGGGTGGGCATGGAGGCTGAGGCCATGCCTCTCCTTTGTTCCACACCTAGACCTTAAAAAAAAGAGGACCAAAGTCCAGAAGAAACAGCTGCTCCTTAAGAAACCTCTCCGGATTGACCTCACGCTTGAGAACAAATCCAAGGTCCCCGCCCCCAAAGAGTGAGTATCCTGCACCCCGTCCTGCCCGCTGGCTGGCCTGAATCCTTGTGCCCCCACCTACTGCTTACCCAAAGGGAGTTCTCTGTAGGGGGAGAGTGAGGCAGTGGCATCAGGTCTGGTGGGGAGCGGGTCAGGGTGGGCAGCAAGGAGCCTGGAGGCCTGTGAAGGTGGGGCGGAGGCTGTGGGAGCTCAGACGTCTGATGGAAGAACTGTGTTTTGGGGGACATGCTGGAGAAGACAGCATTTTGGAGTATTGAGGAGTCAGGGCAGCCCTGTTGTCCACCTGGGCCCGAGGACTTTGGCTCACCCGCCTGACGCGCCTTTCTCCCGACCCAGCATCCTTGCTCACCAGGTCCCCAATGCCAAGAAGCTCAGGCGGAAGCAGGAGCTATGGGAGAGGCTGGCCAAGCAGGGCGAGCTGCCCCGGGAGGTGCGCAAGGCTCAGGCTCGGCTCCATAACCCACCCACCCCCAAGGCCAAGCCCGGGCCCCAGGACACCGTTGAGAGGCCCTTCTACGACCTCTGGGCTCCAGACAGTGAGTGTCTTGCTCTCACCTCAGGTGGCCGAGGGAGGTAAAGTCCTGTGTCTGAGGGGCTGCCTTGGGACTCTGGCGATCTTCCAGCACAGTCCTGGGTCTTAAGCCCCGGCCCTTTGCCCATCTGCCCCAGCTCTGAGGTTTGCCCTCTGGTTGCTGCCTAGACCCTGCTCTCTGTTGCTGGAGGCTCCTCGTGGCCAGACAGTCCCTCTCTCCTTCTTCCTAAGCTTCACTCCCCTCGTTCTTGACCTGAAGGGCTGGTCGGTGCCCCTGACACAAGACATTTTTTCTCTCTGGAAAGTCCCCAGCCCTTCCTCCTTGTCTCCGCAGACCCTCTGGACAGGGCACTGATTGGTCAGGATCCCTTCTTCCTGGAGCAGACCAAGAAGAAAGGCGTCCAGGTGGGAATATGCCCGATGACCAGGTTCCCTGGGGGCTGAGTGGCCTTGGGAACTGTGGGGGTGGGTGGATTTGGGCAGAGTCTGAGCTTCAGAGCCAGACCCTGTGGGACCAGGTTCTCCAAGCTCCCGTCCCACTACTTCTGGTTCCGGGAAGGTGCCTTCTGTTCCTGAAAGGAGCATGATCTTCATGTCTTCTGTCAAATGAGGTCTTAGTTACTAGGATGGAATGAGATGGCCACACACGGGACTTCAAGTGTCTCTCTCATTTGGAGCCCCTTTCCCTGCCAGACCCCAGAGTGTTAGAGGCCAGGGTGGTCTGAGTGTGCAGGGCCCACCTCCCCTCACTGAGTCAGGGCCCGGCAGGCGGTGGAGCAGAGCAGTGGATCTCATGCTGGCTGAGATGGGGATGGTGGAGAGAGTGGTATTTTGAGGGTTGTGCAGTGTGGCTGGAGGGGAGAGGGGCAGGCAGGACAGCAGGCAGCTCAGAAGGTGAAGGAAGAACCACCCGGAAACGTGGCATCAGCAGTTCTGGTAGAACCGGCGTGGAGATGGCACGGTATCCGCGGGATTTCCGCAGCTGGTGTTCCAGAAGTAGATGATCAGGCCTTGTCTCCTTGCAGCGCCCCCCTCATCTCCTTACCAAGCCTTCCCAGGCACCTGCTGTGGAGGTGACGCCCGCTGGAGCCTCTTACAATCCCACCTTCGAGGACCATCAGGTATGCAGCTCTGGGCACACAGGGGCGAGGGGGCAGGACAGGGCACGCAGGAGGTGAGATGGGTGGGAAGCTGGTCTGCCCAGTGGCAAGGAGCTGTGACGCTCAGTCACCTCACCTGATCACCTGCTTTCTAGGCTTTGCTCAGGGCTGCTCATGAGGTGGAGCTGCAGCGGCAGAAGGAGGCAGAGAAGCTGGAGCGGCAGCTGGCCCTGCCCACTGCTGACCAGGCTGCCACCCAGGTGAGACACCCTGTCCCCGACTCTCTCCTCGCCTTGACTCTCTCCTCTCTCTGACTCTTTCCTCTCTCTCCTCGCCCTGACTCTCTCCTCTCTCTCTCTCCTCGCCCTGATTCTTTCCTCTCTCTGACTCTCTCCTCGCCCTGCCTCTCCTTGCACTGACTCTTTCCGACTCTCTCCTCGCCCTGACTCTCTCCGCTCCCGACTCTCTCCTCGCCCTGACTCTCTCCTCACCCTGACTCTCCTCTCCCGACTCTCTCCTCGCCCTGCCTCTGCCCTGACTCTCTCCGACTCTCTCCTCGCCCTGACTCTCTCCTCTCTCTGACTCTCTCCTCTCCCTGACTCTGTCCCTCACCCTGACTTTCTACCTCACCCCCAGGAGTCCACTTTCAGGGAGATGTGTGAGGGGCTGCTGGAGGAGTCGGATGGGGAGGCAGAACTAGAGGAGAGCCAGGATCCTGAGAGTGAAGGAGACCAGGCCTTGCCCGCCCCTGCCCGGCTGGTCACCACTGAGAAGAAGACAGAGCAGCAGCGGCGGCGAGAGAAGGCTGAGCGGACCTTGGTGAGCACTGTAAACTGAGGGGATTGGTGCCTCCTGCCCGCGGCTTGCTTTCTGTGTTCCTTGGGATTCTTGCAGCTTTGTCAACTGGGCACAGGGGTCCCTCAGGTTGCACAGGGGTCCCTCAGGTTGGAGGAAGCCGGCGAGGGGAGGTGGGCTTAAGGACCACAGACGGATCAAGGGCAGGATGGTGACTGTTCGTCAGCTGCTGTGAGGAGGCCAGGGCAGTCACGGCCATGGAGCCAGGTGGCAGAAGCGACCCACAGAGGGGTCCTGAGTGGGGAGGGGGACCGAGTCCCCTGACCCCAGGCCTCTCCCTACAGCGGATGCAGCGGGCTGCGCTGCGGACCGCCCAGCTCCGGCACCAGGAGCTTTTCCGGCTGCGTGGGATCAAGGCCCAGGTGGCGCAGCGCCTGGCCGAGCTGGCAAGGCGTCGGGAACAGCGGAGGGCCCAGCGGTTGGCCGAGGCGGACAAACCCCGCAGGCTGGGGCGGCTCAAGTAAGGTCCAGGGAGGGGGTTGTGAGGGACCTGGGAGGTGGCTTAGAGGGGACAAGGGGAGGGAGCTGAGGAGGGCTGGGAGGAGGTTGATAGGTAGGGGCTTGGGGAGAGCTGAATCAGTAGTGGGTGGGTTGGAAAAGGATCTGGGAGGGAGCTCAGAAAGGGGAACCCAGGGGCAGAGGACCAGGTAAAGTTTGCAGAAGGAAGCTGATGGCCCTGCTATTTGGAGTCCTACATTGGCCTGCTCCACATGTCAGGCTCTACGCTCATAAACTCCTTGCCTGCACCCTCCAGGTACCAGGCCCCCGACATTGATGTGCAGCTGAGCTCCGAGCTGTCAGACTCGCTCCGGACCCTGAAGGTACCTGCCATTCTCAGGTGGGAGGGACCTGGAACCCTGTGCCCGATGATGATACCTATCCTTGCTCCCCGTGCCCCCCCCGGGGCTATGGGCGACACAGTGGCTCCCCCAGGCTGGCTGGTTGAGCTGATGCCTGGGGGCTGAGGGCATGGGTTCCAAAGGAAATGGAGAGCCTGGGAGAGGGACGGGGTTCCTGGGATGCCTGAAAAACACCTGGTCTCACCTTGGTCCTACGCCCTTCTCCCCAAGACTCACCCTTTTTCAGTAACACAGGATTGTCTCTCTTTCATTTTAAAAATAGTAATTCACTGTATTTTGGGGGAAAGTTTATACAGTAAGTTAGTTTCATCTGTGACCATTTCTTTAAAGTCATTTAGTAAAGTTAGTTACATTTTTCACATCGTGTCAGCATTTTTAATTGTACTCTATTTGGAGGGTTTTTGTGTGCTCCAGTTTCCTGCTGTCTTCCCCACACCCCGTCAGCAGTCTCTGCTGTAGCATAGACTTTGACCTCCTTTTGGTCTCCTGTAGATGGTTTAGTAGAGAGCACTGGTTTTCCAGGTGACATTAGTTTGTGTGCTCTTGTGCTTCTACCATGAAATGTGCTCTTGGGAGAGTTTAGTTCCGTGTTTGAAGCGTATCTCAGGACAGAGGTGGCAGGGAGGCTTCTGGTCTCAGGTGGCCCGGTTCTTCTGGTGCTTTTGAGGGTTTGTGCTTGGTTCTGCATTTTTCTCTCGTTTTTTTCTGGGACAGTTTACTGGGACCCCAGTCAGATCGATTGGTGGTGATATTTGGGCACCATCTAGTTCATCTGTTCTCCGGGTAGATGAGGTCGTGGCTTCTAGAAGCTGTCAGCTTGATAGACTAGATTCTTCCTCCTCGGCTGGACGCCGTGTGGCATTGGGGGCTTCAGCCTCACAGGGACTCACTCATGCCTCCCTCCCTCCCATCCCGCAGCCCGAGGGCAACATCCTTCGAGACCGGTTCAAGAGCTTCCAGAGGAGGAACATGATTGAGCCTCGGGAGAGAGCCAAGTGAGGCCGGGGTGCTGCTGGGGGTGAGGGGCAGCTGGGGCCACCCTCCCTCTGAAAGTGTCTGCAGGTCACTGACCATCCCCCACCCCTTCCCCTTCCCCAGGTTCAAGCGCAAATACAAAGTGAAGTTGGTGGAGAAGCGGGCGTTCCGAGAGATCCAGTGAGTCCTGCCTTCCCCTTTTCTCCCGTGGGGTCCATGCTCCAGGGTACCAGGCCTGTCCTAAACCCACCGTGAGCCTCTGCTTCCCGTTCAGGTCTACTGGGGGTGCTTGTCCCAAACCCAAGAGCTTCAGAAAGCCCACCCCCTGCTTGATTAAGTCAGGAAGAGTTGGGAGGGCAGCCCCAAAAGAAAAACTGAAAGCCCAAAACAGTAAGAGGTGTAAAGTGAGGGAGCTCTGGTGGCCTAGTGGTAAGACGCTGCACTGCAATCCCAGAGGTATGCGGTTCAAATCCACCAGATGCTCTGCTGGAGAAGGAGGGGGCAATCTCCTCCTGTACTAGTCAGATCTGATTTGATGGTACACGTAAAAAGAGAGAGAGGCGTAAAGTGGACAAGGGGGTGCCCTCCCCCCCAGCTTTTCCCTCACCCCCTTTTTTGTCTCCAGGTTATAGTGGCCACTGGAAGCCAGCATCCCCAGACATCAAGAAGGCACATCTGGTGCCGCCCTGGACTCTTGGTGTGGCACTTCCCCCTGTGGGCAATACACTTCAGGGAACAGATCACCTGTTTGGTCCACAGAGCCGCTGGATGGCTTTGAACCAACAACTTTACAGTTAGCAGCAAAGTTCTTAATCGTTCCATCTCCAGGGTTCCTTACAGATTTCTATTAAACATGTTAAAAACAGAATTCTTTCTTTTGTTTTCTCTATTTCCCTTAACTGGTCTCTGCTTCCACTTGTGTTCTCATAGCAGTGAGAAGGGACCTTCTATAAAATACTGGGATTGTCAGTCGGTGTCACCACGCTGCTCCCTGACCCAGTGCCCTGCCAGCTGTGCGTGCACGGGCTGCTTGCTCCGACCTCATCAGGGGAAGAGTTAGTCGTTTCCTTTTGCTGATGAATGTGATGGTGTTCCTCTCCGGTTTATCATTATCTGTAGTTAATGGTCTGTGTAAACTTGGCTGCCCGTGTTTCTCTTCGTCAGTTATGAAGTTTGGTGCAATGTGAGCATCCCTTGATATGCTTGGCTGTGATTGGCCAGTCAATTGAGGGGGCGTTTCTCTGGTGTGTGGTTTGCATCCTGTGTATAAGGAAGCCTGGTGCAGTTGGCTGGCTTTATGAATTGGTCTCTATGGTATAGCTTTCTTATCAACTCTAAGGCTGTGGACTGCCTTACCTGATGACCTTGGCTTCCACAGCCATGGGCCATGAACCTGGGATTTGCCGTTGGTTTTGCTCTTTAACACATTACCACAAATGACGGCTATAGCCATCCTGCACATTTTAATAAAGGAACATCATTCGTACGAAGTGCACTAATGCATTTATTTGTTAATGTGTTTCTAAACATAGACATCAATTTAAAAGTGTGTGGCAACATCTTAAAGAAACCAGCCTATGAACGAACCAAAAATGGTTCTAGAGAAACAGTATCCTAAGATGGGTTTCCTATTTTGGTTCTCGAGTCGGCCTCATCCTAGTTTGCTGATGGTTCCACTTTCCACTAGTAAAGACGAACTCTGCCTGTGATTCTGATCCATCCTGTGAGGTAGCAGTATTAGTGGCCAGTGAGTCAAGTGTTAGTAAGAAGAGAGGTTCTGGGGGAATCTTGTGGTCCTTTTACAGTTTTGTCAGGGTGAAGGGTTTAGGGAGCTAGTTGCTTGGGCTTATGTACCCTAGACACAGTGGTGAAAGACTCACAGGTGAGTTTGGAACATTAAAAGACTACAACGTTTCCACTTGGGTCTTGAAAGAAATCATAGTGCGAATATTGATACTGTAAGAGTGGCGGAATTACAACACCCAGACACCAGGAGAGCTGGAGCAACCTTGGGCAGGCGAGGGAGGTCAAACCAGTGCGGACGGTGTAAGAAAACAAGGGACATGACCCTCAGTGACTAAGAGCAGGCTGTCCGGTAGGGCCTCGCCTCCTCATCGAGAGAATGGCCACGCTGTGCGATTAGCAGTACCCAGAAGGTCCCCCAGCCCCCCAAAAGCAAGACCATCGCCATTCCACCAGTGGCATCTTGAGTTGACATTAAGTGGCATGTAGGGAGATCAATTTTGGTTTTTAATGGAATAACTTCTATCTTGTCCTGGCCCAACATAATGGCCCCTTCTTCCAGTCTTGACTTAAGTTCTCACGGATCTGTCAACGTTAGGGTTCTTTCCCTAAGTACTGTAACAGAGCCAGGGACCAGGCTTCTCACACCAGCAAAAAGTCTATTGAAAGGAAAGGAAGGGGGGGAAAGCCTTGTAAGGGGAGACACTGAGAACTCTTGGCCAGTCAGTGCACACTTCTGAGAACAAAGAACAGGCAGAGTGTTTAAATTAGTTTCCTAGTAGGGAAAAAGGAGCTCTGATAGTCTAGTGGGTAAGGAGTGTACCGCCAACCCAAAGGCAGATGTTTCGAGTCCTCCATGCTCCAAAAGAGAAAGGTGGCAACCTCCTGCACGATTTACAGCCTCTGAAAAGCTGCAGGGTCCTGGACTGCTGACCTGATGGTGATGAGTGTGTGAGGTGGGGAAGGGAACCATGTTTACTCATAGGTGGGCACTGTCTTGTATGGGAGGGGTTATGGTAATTAGGTATGTGCACAGCTTGTCTTTCAAGATGGGTTCTGCAGAGAAGGCCTCTTGGTGTCAGTGCGAGAGGATTTATGATGCCCATGTGCAGTACATGTGTGGGTGGCATCCCTCGGTTCAAGTTCCTGTTCAGCAGATGTCCCGCCACTTGGTTGGGAAAGTTAACTCGGAGTTATAAACAGTCTGTGCATGTTGTAGCCGCTGGACAGCCTGGGGAAAAGTTGGAGTCTGTCAGAAAGAGGGATGTTGACAGTTAATGAGGTTTTTCAGGGCAATCACAGAACGCTTCTAGGGGCGGGTCCCCAATTCCCTATCTCAAAGCCAATCAGGAACCCCAAAACTGTTGACTTTTCCTTGCCCTGTGAGATGGGATGCAATATTGTTCCATGCTGCCTTAGATACCCGTGAAAGCCCAGTCACTCCTCAGAAGAGTCCTTTTAGCCAGATGAGGGGTGACAGTCTTGGAAAGGAACTAGCTCACAATTCACAAGTCGGGAAGGTCTAGGATTAACTGGCTCCAGCTCTCTTGAAGGTGCTCTCGTGGTGCAGTCTGTAGCATGCTGCACCGAGAACCAAAGGCTGCGTGTCTCCAGCATGTCAACTTCACCAGCAGGTCCAGGAAAAGACGGGATCCTCAAGCCAGAGAGTGTCCTTGATCATGTACTCCATCCCTACCTCCCAGAAATGAAGACCTAGTATACTGTGGAAGAGGAGAAAGAAGCAGAGCGTCTCAGTTGTCAAGTTACAGCGTGTTAGCTAGCTGATGAGATGGGCAAGTGAAAAGGCTTTCATGAAGCAACTGTTACAGGCAAGAGACACGACTCATCTTTCTTAATTTTTATTTTTTTGTGTGTGTGTGTACCGTCAAATCAGATCTGACTGGTACAAGAAGAGATTGCCCCTCCTTCTCCAGCAGAGCATCTGGTGGATTTGAACCACGCATCTCTGGGATTGCAGTGCAGTTTCCTACCACTAGGCCACCAGAGCTTGCCACGACTCATCTTTCCAAAGGAGAAGTTGCCCCGATCATCTGAAAGAAAAGTGTCTCCTTGACTTTTCCGAGCTGTTCTGGCAACTCCCATTGGCAGTAAGTGGAATTGCTTTGTGGGTAGCACAATTCAGGAGAAGTAATAATAATTCTGATAATTGTGAGGCTCTATTATTTCTGTGCTTTGAAAATCTTACTTTGCCTCTGTTTTGTGGGAGAGAGTGAGCCCCCAGGAAAATCTTTCGTCTGTGGCTGTGAAGTGAAAAGCATCTTGAACGGAGCTCTGGCAGCCGCCTCTGGGGGCATATGCGCTGCTAACCCACAGGTGGCGCTGGAGAGTCAGCTAGGCTTTGATTCCAACTTAACCAGCAATGAGAAATCAGGAAGCACTCCCAAGGGGAGCTCTGGTGGCCTAGTGGCAAGGAGCTGCAACTACAATCCCAGAGGCACACGGTTCGAATCCACCAGATGCTCTGCCGGGAAAAGGAGGAATAATCTCCTCCTGTACCAGTCAGATCTGATTTGACGGTACACTCACACAAAAATTAAAAAAAAAAAAGGAAGCACTCCCGAAGCCCTTGAATAACAACCAGTTAGCAGCATCCTGATAGATGGTGAAGAGATGGCTATTATTAACAGCTTTAGTTTTCTTGGCTCCACAATCAACACTCAGGGTACCAGAAGCCAGGAAATGAAAAGATTAATTTTGCTGGAGAGCTCTGATGGCCTAGTGGCTAGAAGCTGCACTGCAGTCCCACAGGTGCACGGATTGAATCCACCAGATGCTCTGCTGAAGGAGGATGCACAATCTCCTGTACCAGTCAGATCTGATTTGACGGTACACACACAAAAATAATATAAATGTTTAAAAAAGCCCAAGAGAGGAATTTTGCATTGGAAAAGTCTGCTGTCAGGGACATCTCCAAAGTACTGAAGAGCAGTGATGTCAGTCTGGAGACTGAAGGTTCATCTGATCCAGTCCATAGTCTTTTCAATCATTTGCTATGCATCAGGAAGCTGGACAATGAATAATTAAGCTAATTAAGTATGAGTCTTTCCTAACGCCCCTAACCTAACATAAAAATTGTCCCGCAAAACTTCCCTTCCTTGAGAGAGTCCTAGCATTTTTTTTAAGGTCCTAGCTCCCATCTCATTTTTATTTGCCAAAAATCTGCATCTACGCCTGTTCTAAGAAATTATTTACTAGAATAAAGGGGCACTTTTGTGTACAATTGAAACATTGTTAGTAACATTGACAGAATGGATTGTTAAACAACTCTTCAAGATGTAACAACTTTTAGACTCAGACTCATTGTTGTCAAGTCAGAATCAACTCATGTAGTCACAGCTGGTGGATTCAAACCTGCAAAGATACCGCTTTTGGTTTTAGTAGTTCAACTCCCTACTGGCTCCTTGATTAGAGCTCTGTGTT